GATGACTTGGGCAGAAATAAAATTTCCTTAAAATATCGTAACAGGCTCTGGGGTGGTATTTTCTTCATTTTTTGTCAGCCAGAAGACCGTTTGTTCCGTACAGTTCTCTTCGCCCAACTCCAATATCGGATTGAGACAACCTAGAAGTCATTAGCCCACGACTTGGCAGTCACTCATGGAAGTTCTTGCCAGTCATCTCAACTGTTTTGGCAATCGTTAACTGACGTTTTCCCAGATGGGGACCACAAAGCGACGGTAAACAATGCTTGGTAAGCCTGGCGGATGCGGCCAATACTACTGAGCCAGCAATGGTCTTCCGTCAAAGCTATGGCCTTCACTGAATGGCCCGCACTCCTTGCAGTTTTCCAATTTCGTTTATCTTTAGGAAATAAAACTATGGCGGCTTGAACAACAACAACAACAATTTGGTACATGACTTTCCAGCTGGACAACCGAAAATAACCGATTCACAGCCTGCCGTACGCGCGTGGTCAGAGAGTGCGAAATACATCCGGAATATCGTGCAAAACTCGTTTTTTTCTGTTTCATTTTCATACTTGTGGATACTGGTTATGCTTTTCCCAGTTTTCTTTGCTTAATGTGCTCTCTCAAAGTGAACCTGTGCTTGAAGGTCAAAAATATTCCCTGTTGGTGCAGAAGGTTTGTGAAGTTTTCGATTTACAGTCACAATGTTTCGAAAAATGATCGCGTAGCCTAATAATTTGTGTTGTAAATGACTGAACGAAATCGTAAACCCTCTAGGAGTGGGACAAATCATCACAAAGGTTTTTTCAGTTATTTGGAAAATATAGACAATGGAGGTAGGCAGCTAGTCAGGATGAAATCTCGTTGACGGGCAAATGCGAAGTTACAGAAAGTGCTAATGCGTCCACTCCTAATAGATCGATCATTTTTTACTGCGAGAAGGTAGGGACATTCTTCAAAGTCTATCGAATTTGGCAAATCGCATCCACTATTTTACTACTCCTATTCGTGACTTTGAAATTCAAATTTCGCCATTCTAACCTATTTTGGCTGCATGACTATGATAAATTGTGGGCGAAGCAACAGGACTCGTTTTCGATAAAAAATTTTTAAGAATTCCAAGTGGTAAGTAAAACAATAGCTGTCTGAATAGTGGGACAAGTTCCGTGAACACTCAGAGCACTTTCAAAGAGCATTTTCTTTGTTTCTTTAATTATGAATCAAAAGGGTACTTTCAAAACAAGCATAGTTGAGTGCTTGTGTGGTTGAGTTGAGTTGCTAAAACATGCTCTCTCCTGGAAAAGAGACAGTAGATTTTACAAAGGTACAAGAAATTGATTGTTTTTACTTTTATCTGTTGCTTAAAATAATATGAGCAAAGTGCAGTTTGACAGAAGAAACTATAGAGGTATTACACTGCCTGGTATGATCATCAGTACTTTTCGGTATGCAATCCAATCATTAGATTTTTATGATACTCTGTGAAAGGAAAACACCCAATATCTTTCTCATCGTACAATAAGAGCCGATCGAAAGTGTGTTGTTTGATCTCAGCCGGTTTATGCTATCGGTGGACCTCCAGGAGCGCAGTTCATATAGTGTGATCTGGTGTCGACTAGGCCGCCTACTGATAACTCCTTTGAAGAGGATCAATAAATTTCCTGGGGGGGCTTTTGTTCTTCAGATGTCGATTGGTTTTCCTCCACGCGAGTGAACTTCTGCAAGTTTGAGTCGAGTCGGTACTAATGTAATGTTGGATGATGGTTGATAAACACAACTGTATAATGCTCACTGTTTTTTCCGGATTTGGATGACATTCTGAAATCGTCTTAAACCTGTTTTTGTGCTGAGATTTCAGTGTTGTTCTATTCGTAAATTCACACGGGATCGAGTCACTAAGTCCCGTCATCGGTGAAACTATATACTATGCATATCATGTACATTTTACTCACCTTCCTAATCAACAATCGTGTTAAACCTGTTTTTGTGCTAAATTTTCAGTGTTCTTCTATTCACAAATTCACACGGGATCGAGTCACCAAGTTCCGTCATCGGTAAAACTATATACTATGCATCTTAAACCTGTTTTTGTGCTGAGATTTCAGTGTTGTTCTATTCGTAAATTCACACGGGATCGAGTCACTAAGTCCCGTCATCGGTAAAACTATATACTATGCATATCATGTACATTTTACTCACCTTCCTAATCAACGTCATCATCATCAGTAACACTAGCACTACTAGAATTATTGACGCCATTGACGTAATCAACAGCCTCAAAATCATGAACGTCGCGATTAGCATTCTTGTCCTCATCGTCCTCATCGGGATCATCATCACTGTCATTAGTACCCCCAACATCACCATCATCTGGACTTTCATCGTCCACATCCTCAGCAACTGATGGGTCATCATCCCTGAGGTCATCTGAGATCAGCATCATCGTCGCAAATGTAATCATTGCTCGAATCATTCTCACCATCATCATCATCATCATCATCACCTTACCACTCACCTTATCATCATTATCCTAATCATTGGATACATCATCACCAGTATAGTCTTCATCCTGCTGCTTGTAAGCATCACCTATGCACGCATTCACAACGCCATAATCAGAAATATCGTCATCACATCGTTATCCTCATCCTCATCGTCATCACAGTTATCAACATTGCCATCAATCTTATCATTTCCCTGATGGGCCTCATCACCACTAACAACACTATCATAAACTTTTCAGAGTTTACACTATTTCCGTCTGCATTTTCGGTCTTGTAATGTCGGTTATCACCGTGGTCATATCATCAGTACCACCAGGTTCCTCATCAACACTACTAGCTTCAGTAGTAGCATTTTCATCATCGTCACAAGCAACGTAATCATAATATTATCATCGCTATCGGCATCCTTATCGCCATTCTTTTGGTGCCCTACCTCATTCTCCTCCTGTCATGCACAACCAATTTGACACAATCATTACCCGCTGCCGCAGGATGTTCAGGGCTATTCATATATTTAACCATCTTGTTTTAAAGTTATGTCGAAGTAAATTTCCAGTTGAGATTTCTTTCTGTAGGTGGCCTCCAGTCTTATTGAGAACCATCAACTGCACGCATCTCACGGACACCTAGATGAGTGGAATCCTCAACCTGTTGGTTAATAATCGAACCTAAACGAGAGGTCCAACTATTTCTGCCACGAGCAACTTATCCTCGGGGTGACCAACATGGGGTGTGCGGTCATACTCCCCTAAACAACAGGATTCAAACCACGTGTTCACATATTGACTGACTCCTAGACTGGCATTACCTCGGATTAAGGGTTCACGAATCCTGTGAATTACTTGCGTTGAAGCCACTGGTGTAACGGTGGTACTACTGATGTGGAGACACTCGAGTAGTATGTGTTGTTCGTGAAATTTTGCTTTGCGTCTTTTGAAAAGGGGAGATCTGCTGCGGAATTCGTAGAGTCAATTTGTAACAATTGCTTGGATTTGAGCGAGGAATGATTGGAGTCAATGAATCTTTAGGAAATTTTAAGAAGACGCGTCCAGGAGAAGATGTATATCCAGTTCTTGTAAATAAGATGCAAATTGGAGTTTTGCTTCCCTGTCCAATGGTCTATAACCAGTCAGCTGGCATTTCCCAATGAATGCCTCCGTAGCGAAGGCCTTCTTTCACTGGTATATTCACGTTTAATTCGTTGCACAGCCTGAGCAATTAATGAGCTGCTCCTTTCGGTAACATACCATTTACCGTGCCTGTTCTCTGTTTGAATGAATGCAACTCAGTCAGTTTCGTTTAATTTATATCATTCTCCAACATAATCAACCATTGTTCACCGTGTTCATGTTTTCAACGCAACATCGGCACTGCATCGAAGTCATTTCCCACTTGCCACGATCACATTCTTTCTTTCACACTGTGGAGGAACACTTAGAGGGTTTGCTTTGAAATCAAGTCTCGGAGCTGATGTGTGATCTTTCAGCCTGTCCAGAGGAGGACAGTCAGTCCATTGCAAAAAACTTTAAAGCATCGACATATGCAACACCTACCTCTCTCTGTCATACAAGAAGCTAAAACAGGCCAATGGGCGCTGTAGGCTGTGTGTACTCTCGTTTGTGCGGCTGGGAAGTGGTCCTCGTACACAGTCTCTTTGAACGTCTTGTGGCGATTGTTTAAGCCAAGCCGCCAACCGCTGTGTTTGAGCAGCTACGATGTGAGACATCTTAACATAGGAGCTAGTTAGAATAGCGTCAAATAAGTTAGTAATTAAGCAAGTAAAATCGGACAAAATAAATACTGACTAAAAGCTAGCCAGGTTCGAAGAGATGTGCTTAGAGAATCTAAACGACATACTCCAATTTAAATGCGGTTACCAGAACACAATTTCGGAGCCATTTGGAACATCTACTGAAACGAGCAGTTGTTCTGCTGAGCCACTACAAAGCAGCTCTTTTCCCATCGGTCACTGAAGACCAATGTGATAGACAGTCACGTGACTAACCTAATCAGTGTCATGATCGATTCAATAAGGTGAAGCCAAGTTTTAAATTTCCCGGGTCAAAGCATCATTTTCCGCCTAATGGGGTCCTGATTGACTGCCGTAAATTTTCCACATTCTAGTTAGCTGATGCCGTCTCATCCAAATGTACCACAAGGCTACGTTGAACTACTACGAGAATTTACGATTGCTGTATTGCGGGTCCAACCGAAAGATGTCGTAGCATTTGCTGTGGAGTATTTTACCAATTTAAAAAATACCTTACCGGATACTTGTGAGGCACCAACTGATGTCAAATTAGTTCATAAACCTTTCTCTCAGAACACTCCACCTATCCTACAATTTCGTCCAAAGAGCCATAGCAACGAAGAGGAAAGGTTTGCAAATTCAACGGAACATGTGAACTACAACTCTACAAACACGCAAGACGACAGTTTGTCCTCTTCTTCCAGCCTTTCTGATCCCTCGTCGACTATCATTAAGGACCGCCGGAACCTTTCAATCCTGATTTGTTAGATGGAACTGAGGATCTCCAAGCAGATTCTCAAGAAAGCGAACAATGCCCACTGCTCATGAATATTTGCAAAAATGTTCTACTCTTTCGCAACATGAATGACAAAGAATTGGCGAAAATCACACAGGTCATGGTTGGACGGGAAGTTCATCCAGGAGATGTGATTATCACACAAGGAGAGAGCGGCAACCACTTTTATGTGATTGAAAGAGGTCTTTTCAGTGTGCTTGTCCGAAGCGAAGATGGCGTTGAAAAACGAGTGCTTCAGTATGAAAACAAAGGTCACTTTGGCGAAATGGCTTTAATGTATAATGCACCGCGTTCAGCCACAGTAGTTGCCGAAACTGAGGGGAAGATATGGTGTATGGACGGAAACGACTTTCGACGGCTTGTTCTGTCACACGCAGCCAAACAACGAAGGCAGTTCGTAAAGCTTTTGAATTCGGTTCATATTCTAAAGGAGCTAGGCTCTAACGATCTGATGAACCTTGCAGACGCTCTGGTGAAACGTACTTATGAAGATGGGGAATGTATTGTCAAACAAGGTGACCGGGGACTGGAAATGTACTTCGTTATGGAAGGTAAAGTGATTGTGAAAAAAGATACATCGGCCGGTGTAATCACTGTTTCGGAGCTTGGCGAAGGACAGTATTTTGGTGAACTGGCTCTTTTGAGTGACGAACCTCGAGCTGCCTCAGTTTATTCCGTTGGGACAAGCGTTCTGGCAGTGTTGGATGTACAAAGTTTTGAACGACTACTGGGCCCCTGTGTCACTGTAATGAAGCAAAATACACTCAAGTACTTCGGCCGAACAAGCGGCCATGACATCCGTTGACGGTTTCAAAGAACGGGCTGGATGAAGGAATCGCCACCCCAGTGAGTGTCTTCAGCGAATAACTTTTGGAGCATGCTTTTAAGAAGCATGTTTGAATTCAAAAGTATGTTTGTCGCAATTTATCCAAACACTCCTACCTCGTGGTCATAATTCATTTGAGGCTCCATGTGTCTACCACAAATTTCCATAAGAATTTCGTTTTTCTTTGTTTCAATTCTAAAAGATTATCGCCAGTCGACATGACCCAAACAGAAAAGCACTGCGGCTGTGTCGACCCTAGAATACAGCTCTGGGTATTTGAAGATTAGCAAAACGGAGCTCAGATGAAGTGGTCGTGATCCACACGCCAAGAACAGCCTTGTTTTTCTTATTCAGGGTGGCAAAAAGCTAGGTGCACAGCATAGCACGTATTGGAGCAGATGGAAACATGTCATGAGGATAAGGCTCACGTGCCCCTTGTTCTTGATTGATGAATCCAAATAGAGTGTAGCTAACTGAAATCAGTGGTGATCATAACATCTATCCGGACTGTCTGATTTGATAAAGCCTTTTTATGGAGGGAAGAATAAACGTGGCTGGGGAAGAAAGTTAGTGCTGCCTACGACAATCGCTCCTACTTGTCTAACCCCCCAGAAACTCATTCAGATCTTCTGCATAGAGACTAATAGCAAGACTAATACCAGACAGTCTTGTAGCGTATCCAACCATGCACAGAAGAGTTTCGTAGACCTCATCTTGAGGGGCACCGTGCTGAAAGCAGATTTTTGAGGTGTACGAAGTAAGAAACCACGAACCCCTATTCCCAACAAGTCTTACTCCTCATTTTAAGGACATGTTTAAAGAAATTGAAACTCCATTAGAGAATTGAAGTACCAGCATAATGTCCTTAGTCTTTTGAGGATAATGGTGTTTGTGATAGAGGAAATCGTTTTCACTGCCCTTTGAAAAAACATTCTTGCACGATCTAGCTGATGATTTTGAACTTACCTGCTAGCCTCTTCTGCCTGATGAAGGACTACCCTTGGATGTAGAGAAGCTACGGCTAATACGGTTGTCCTGCCGGTCCGACAGATCATCAGTGTTCTGAGTCGGTCAGTTTAGTTTAGCTTCTACGGATCCGTTCACTAAGGAGAATGAGAATAAAAAATGAGAACCGGTGAATGAAGAGATATTGAGGCGAGTGATACTCCCCTGTTCCTCAGGCGGAATAATGCACTTTTGTTGATGCATCCCACCTTCAGCCTTTGACCCGGATGTCGGACTCACAGTGTAGCGGTAAAATCAGGGTCTGAACAGTTAGACAATGAATTTTAAGGTTTTCTTATATAACCATGCCTGGAGTTAGTGACTACATGATTTGTCCCACTTGGCTGCAGGGGCCCAGTCCTGCATGGACTGGAGTAAAGCATGGAGTAAAGCGTAACTGACTGTCTGACTCCTAGTGCGGCTGCGCGCATCAGACGCCCTTTGAGCGGCACCAAACTGCCTTATTTTAGAAATATTTCCACCGTATTGAAGAATGCACTGGTAGTTATGGTCAATCAATGGGGCGATCGGAGTGTGTAAATTTTGGGACAGGCCTTTTCTTATTGGAAGGTAGCACCACTGTTCCCGTAAATAGAGACATTCTAGTCACTTAAATGAAATACTTTACTGCTTCTACCCTTTCGTTACAGAGGACAGTACCAGATGACCTCCGGATCCTCTTCTAATGCGATCTCTCGCTTTTCCCGCTAATTCTCTTGGCACAACTCAGCCATGTGGGACTGACTTTTAGCTAGGATCATTGCAACACCAAATCACGGCCAACACGAGCAAACGACAGCTTTACGTCAGCTGCTTCGGACCTAGTGCATCAGTTGATTTTTAAGTCAATCCGTTGGCTAAACCCGCATAGTTATTGCCATACCTTTCGTCTAGACACAAAAACAGGGACATGAAAAACAGACATAATTCGACCAAACCGGATATATGAAAATGCAATGGCTATTACACTTCTTGAAGACTTTGAGGATTTTACATTGAGATACCTAGGGGAACCAGGAATAAGCAGTCTGGAAAAGAGTAAAGAGTATGATAAATGCACTCATTTGCAAACCACTTTGGTTTTCACGGAAGACTCAAGCAAACCTCACGCTCAGGAAGTTCCCCAACTTTATGTGCTGCACAAAGGCCACCTCACGTTTCATTTGGTACGATATTCGAGCTATCACGGTATATTTTCATAAAAAAGAAGCTACTCAGAATGTTGCTGAGGGCTCTTGGGTTCATGTAGAACATTAGGTTGACAAAAACTAGGAGACCGCGCCTACTTCATGAGCCTCAGGAAGGGCGAAACCGGTCGTGAGCTGTCGAAGACTCTTCAGCAACCTTGTGAGTAGTTTACTTCATGGAAGTAGAGTTTCATCGTAATTGATGTCGTGTTGAATTCTGGGTCTTAAAATGAAAACCTACTCTCAGACCGCATTCCGAGTGGCCATCCTGATGCATTGGGGGGGGTTCGAGAACAACGCATACCTGATAGAAGTTAGCAAAATTTATTATTGCACATAATTTAAATATCTTTTCAGATTTTAAAAGATAATTTTACACAGACTTGTTTCATGCACACATCGGACTCCTGGTAGGGAGATAACTTCAAGAGCAAAACCAATGAATGGCAGATGTTTTCTCCTTTGGGATTGCTTATTGCCTAGGTGAACTTCAAAGAATTAAACGAAGATAATCTCCTTGGAGTGGGAAACGGCCACAGAGCGGTGTCTTTTAGTTATTAGGTTAGTTAAATGTTGCGACTTATTCCCTTATTCAAAATGACAATCCTTCCATCTACGATTTATAACACTGGTAATCTCACTTCTCCATATCCCACAGGGTCGCCAACAAAGCCTAAAAGGCGTACTTTACAATGAAAAGGTCACCAGTTCTGTTCGCTTGTATGAGCTCAGGCTGGAATAAGCCGCGCTTTAGCAAGTGATATCACACGAATTTTATATGTAAGAATTTTAGACAGGTCTTATTGCCGGGGTTTTGTTCACGTAATCTTATTTCCAGGCAACTGGAAAAAGTTTGAAACCGATTGAGAAGACGCCGTTTCAGAAGGGCTTGGTGAAAACTACCGTTTGTTTATCATGCCTTTCTGAAACGGGATCTTATTTCGTAGACAAGGCATCAGATTGATCTGGTAACGGCCCCACGGAACCTTTGTGATTTCGACCAACGAAAGAGGCGCTGGTAATGACTGCTTGTGATGTTTGCCCCTGAGGTGCGCGAAGAAGAATGAAGAATTAATCATTGACCATTGTTTCAAAAGATTTCATGACTAATCGTCTTCCAAATGAGGAAATGCTACAAGGTTGAAAAGTGCAAACGTTTGGTACGTCCCCAGCGACGATGAGGAAAATTGGCTATTTTGGAAAAAAATAAATTATTGGAACCATGAAAAGAAGACCGGAAAATCCATAAGGATGCTCTTCTTTTAGAGGGAAACGTGCCTTCTACTCGGTGTATACGTCTCCAGAAATGGGGTAGTGCTTCCAAGAAGAGAATGGTTCCGTAAATCTCGGAATTACCCTTATTCAGGGGGTCCCGTCAACTTTTCTCCGGTTTCGTATTGGCTAAATGCGCCATTATTTCCCATTGAATTTAATAAGGGGTCTGAAGAAAATAGCTTATCAATGGTTTATTGGTTAACAGTATTTTGTTTCATCTATTATCCACCTGATGGATTTGAAAGTTCTGTGGGACCGAGAGTTTGGCAGGCATAGGACACCGTCTATATGGAACCAATTTTTTTATTGATGTTGTAACAACTACACAAATGGTGCGGCACCGCAGCAGTGCGCACCTCATGAACTTCCAGCGAGATACTCACTCGCAAACCCCTGGGTTAGTAATTGAACAACTTATGAGTAGTGTATTATGTGAACACTAATACGTTTGACGACAGTCAGGTAATTACTGATAATGAATAATAATAATAGCCGTTTAGGTGTAACACCATTTTGGCTGATTACACCTAGACAGGATGCAGTGTCATACATCTTTCAGTCACGGCATTCAAATCCCGTGATTATGGCTTGACTGGCTGCTTGATTGGCGAAACCTCAGAGAAAACGCTCTCTAGTCTTCGCGTCCAGACATTGTTGTCCACTCTGGTATGCACAGACATTTATGCAACATCGTGCTTCGCCCAGCAATTCAGTTAGTTCGTTAATCTTTAAAGTTTGAGCTACCGTGGCAATCGGCTGCAGAACCGCAATACTCGAACGTAGATGTGAACGGAGTTCAACATAGTGCATTGTGGGAGCTCTCTCTTTTGTGAAGTCAAGTTGTAGGTATCAGCTTACGTGAACCAGCTAGGCAAGTGGGTTATGCTATTTTACGTAGTGAACATGAGCGTCCCTCGCTCATTGTCAGACCGTATTATTAATTACTTTGGCCGGCTCAATACTCCGAACTGGTACTCTGACTTTAGGCTAGCTACATGTTTCGAGTCAATTGATTCTGGGAAGCATGTACAATAGAATGCTCAGATATGGTTTTGGCAAACGGAGTCTAAGTTTGAACTGTGGATAATTCCACAATACCTGTCGTCTCTAACAAATGCTCTTCGATTCAGGTCAGTTTCGGTTTGGTTTACCACTAGAATTGAACCGCAATTTCGAACAAGAGATGTGAATGATGATGTGCACTCTACGTTGGGGCCCATAGTCAAAACTCTACAGGGTTAACGCATTAAAGGTGGCCACCGGCAGTAGTGTGTCAGAGATGTTAACCTGTTAGAAAGAAAATCAGTCGTCGAGTTGTTGTGTACACGAACCAATCACAACCGTAAACCGCTATCGAACAGAACAGGTTTACTGGTAACCATAGATTGCAGAGAAGCTCAGTCTGTTTGTCTGGTTGTCCTAGCCATTTCACGTGTGTTATTTCGATAAGGACTCACACACCAGGGTTGAACTGGTAGGCGTCTACAATATTTTCCTCGGCCGCGTCTTGGGTGACCGTCATAGACGTAAATTCTTTGGATGTATGTTACGGTTCGGTCACGCAGCGAGCAAACAATATGATATGCGGATTGTGGCAATACTCT